GCTGGGCTGGCAGCGGTGAGCACCAAACATACTTGCCATTCAGTTCTAAACGGATTCAAGGTCAGAGTGTTGAAAATGTGGTTTGACCGGTGTGGAAGGGAGCAGAGTGTCTGGAGGCTGTTTATAGCAAACAAGCGGCCGCACAGGTAACCCTTGCCACGAGAGCGATTAGCGGTGGTGTCAAGAAAGGGCTGTGGCTGATAGCATGCAGGAGCAGCCTGTCCTTCTCTCAGCCAGCTGTTGGAACTATGCATTTGGCGAGGCATTTATTACAAGTTCTCCATTATTCTGGCCCAAACTCTTTTGTTCGCTCAGCATGTGGAACAGAGAGGACACGGAACCCATGGCCTGCTCTCACTGCAGTGACTCGGGTGGGTCAGTCAGAGCTGTCTATGTTTGGGTCAAGTGTATTAGTCACGGTATTAGTAGAGGGAGAAATGGTGGAAAAGGGGCTTGGATGGCTGCTTGACATCCTGGCCTGGCCTGGCTTATGTGGATTTTGGGGAACAAACTCCAGCTTATTTACTGAAGTTCTAATCAAAGTCGGTCCTTGATTTATCTCAGTCACAGAGCTGGAGCTTGCAAGCTGCCATGTGCTAGCGGTATTGTCAGGAGGGTTTCCGCATAAAGGAAATTTCCTTCCTAGTGTTGCTTCAAGATAAGTTGGATTCTCTATTATCAATACTGCTGCTAGAGCCCCTTCCGTTTTCCTGCTGTGCATGTTTTGCATGTCGTATGTTTCTCTTTACCCTTGGGAAACAAATGTTTTCACAAGCTGTAGGCCGCCTGGAGCCCCACCCGTATCCTCTAGTTTTAATTAATCTTCAAAACCTAAACATGTGGTTTGGAAGGAATGAAGGACATCTGTCAAAACGGTCACAGGAGGTGCACAAATAGTGCTTCAGAGCCCATCTCTGGTATCACCACTGATGGGTGCACCTGGCTCCTGGGGAACGTACAGGTTTTCGTACAGCACTGTGTTGAAATAGCTGTAGTTGTGTTCTGTGTCAGAGCTGCACCAGTTTTACTTCTGCACGTGCTATGACCTGAAGTTGCACAGCAGGAAAATACAGTTGATGGGTCTGAAAGGGCTGGTGAAAGCATTGCAAAAACTTGCAGTCGTTGTGAAACACCGTGTAGAAGAAACACCATGGTTCAAACACGACCAGCCCCAGTCAGCCTGTTTTTGAAACACGCTGCCTGTTCCCGCATCGTGGAAGCATCAGTGGGGAGGGCCTGGGCCCAGCACCTGACCCAGCAGCCAACTGAGCTGCTCAGGCACACGAGGAGAGGCAGCAGCAGGCTCAGCGTGTGGAGACAGTGCTGGAATGGCTGAAGCTATTGTCTCTGAGGGGACTTGGAGGTTATTGTTGTCTGCAGCACAAGCGGGGAGCAGGCTGCTCTGCAGAGGGTGGGTGGGGATGAGGTGTGAGGAGACCAGAGCAAGGGTGGGGAGCGGAGCGGCCAGAAAAACCAACCGAACCCTTGAACTTCTGCTGTAAACAGGAACTGGAGGCCCACAGAAAGCGACACAGAGGAAACGGGAAGGTAAAAGGGGAGAGGCAGCAGCTGTATGTGAACTAGACTAAAGGAAACACGCAGAATGGTACTGAGCTACTGAGGCATTGAGGCCCCCCAGCTGGACAGGGAGTGTGCCCACTCTCTCCCTCACCAAGAAGTCGGCGTGCCTAAGGATGCTCAGGCAGCACGCATGGAAAGGAGTCACTCTCCTGAACTTTTCTCAGGCTTTTACCCCTGAGTCCCCACTGCCTGGAGATTGCATGGCCATGTCCCCTCATAGGGCCGCGAAGTCATGCTGGGGTGGGGAGATTTTGTGGGGAGCCATGGGGCCCCTGGGCCACACTGGCGCCATTCATGGAAGGACTGTCCTCCCCCACTGCAAGCACTGCCCTCGCTCGGCTTCTCTGGTGCCTTCCTTTGACTCTGTCTCAACAACAGAAGATCCTGTGTTGCTGCCAATTAATGGAACGGCACCAGGGTTTTCACAACCTGACACGGCACGGCACTCTGTTTCCTACGTTGTGTCTTTCTGTTTGAAATTAGGCTTTGATCCTTCATCTTCTTATTAAAAACACATGGATGTTCTTCTTTTCTCACCCATTGCTTTTCTTGTGATCTGAACTGGGGGGGGGATTGTTGGTAGCCAATGCTTTTGACCAAGGATTTTTTTTAATGGATAGCTTCATAGTGATATTTGATAGCTTTCCTGTTTATCTAATATTTTCTGTGTCCAACTTTATCTTTAGGACACTGTCTACCCATTTTTCTCTTCAAGATGAACACAACCACAGGGAACTCTGAATGTGTTATGATTGTGCAGTGATTAAATAAACTTGCTGAGCAGTTCTGGGGCTTGCTTAATCCACTGGAGCTGGTAAAGGGACATGGTAATTTCTATTGGGATTTTCTTTTAAAAGCACCAACCATTACAAGGTTTTTAGTTCAGTGACTCATTCATTTCAAGAATACTGCAACTAAAAGCATTGGCAGACAAACAGTTGTGTGGATACAACATTCCCAGGAATGTGCTATAAACAGTTCAGAAAGAATATATTTAGGGTTAGTAGATACTGTATTTAAATCACCACCTGGATAGATGAACATTTCCACTAGTCAGAAGTGCTGGCTTTTTTTTTCCTTTGGTCCAAGATTGAGCTAGCTGTGCTGTTACACTGCTGGTGTGAATTGTGGTGTGGTTAGAAGATGCTGCAGCTTTTATTTTAGTTTCCTAATGTATAGCTGGGTAAAAGCTGTTACATGTGGGACAGTTTCAGTGCATTAGCTTTGGGTCACTTCCTACCACATGGCCAAGTAGCAAGAGTAAACTCAGAAATGCAAGGGAGGAACTGAAATCTTGGGGTGGGGTTTGTATAAACCACAGGTGAAGCACTGATCTGCTCTCAGATTCCTCCTCCTTTCCACTGTTCTACTATATTACTTCTTTCCTTACAGTTCTTTTTCCTTGGGCTCATTTCCCAGCTTTCTGTCCTCTTCAGCCTCAGCTTCTTGGTCATCAGACTTTTGTTGCTTCCCTGCAGACCCATGAGTGGGGTGCTGTAGCTGGTAAGGCACAAGCTGGGGTCAAGCCCTGCGCTTTGACCACAACAGCCCCATGCAGTGCTGCAGCCTTGGGGCAGTGGCTGGCAAGCTGCGGGGCTGTTAGCTTTGTGCCCAGGTGGCCAAGGAGGCCGACGGCACCCCGGCGTGTGTCAGCAGCAGGAGGTGACCGTCCCTCCGCACTGGCACTGGGGAGGCCGCACCTCGGTGCTGTGCTCAGTGCTGGGCCCTCACTGCAGGAAAGGCACCGAGGGCTGCAGCGTGTGCAGAGAAGGGCAGCGGAGCTGTGAGGGGTCTGGAGCACAAGTGTGATGGGCAGCGGCTGAGGGAAGCGGGGCTGTTCGGTCTGGAGAAGAGGAGGCTCAGGGGAGACCTCGTGGCTCTCTGCAACGACCCGAAAGGAGGCTGTGTGAGGTGGGGTCGGCCTCTGCTCCCAGACCATAGGACGAGAGGGGATGGCTGTAAGCTGTGCCAGGGGAGGTCCAGGTTGGATATTAGGAACAACTCCTTCTCCAGGAGTGATTCTGCACTGACACAGCTGCCCAGGGAGTGCTGGGGTCACCTGGAGGTGTCCCAAAGCCGTGGGGATGTGGCACTGCAGGACGTGGGCAGTGGACATGGTAGGGGCAGGTTGGTGGTTGGACATGATCTTTTCCCACCTTTATGATTCTATGATCATGGCCCCCCACTCTGTGGAAGCACATTGCAACGAGTGGGCATGTGCTGTTTTATGAAAGAGGGCATCCACTGGAACTCTGTGCAGTCAGACATAGACTTTGCATTCCTCTGCACTGTCGTTGGCATTTTCTGTGTTTGGAGCAGCACACTCAAAGTTGTCAGGTTGGACATGTTACATTTGCGTTTAAGATTTATCAGTCTGTATGTCCTGTTTCTGAATGCATCAACACCATTAGAGACCTGTAGGAGGTTTAGATGCTCAGCTGCTTGGAAATGCCAACTGCTTTCATTTGTAGGTCTAATTATGGACTTAGGATTCCAAGTTTGAGCACATGTGTTTTGATAAATTTGGTCTGTAGTAGTTCCCAGCTCAATGAAATGACTTTCTGCTAACAAGGAAAGGCTTCATCCAAAGCCCTTGGCAAAAGAATTTAACCACAAAGATGTCTAAAATTTTCTGTCTGAGAATTCTCAGCTTGGCAGATAGCTGTTCAGGAGTTTCTGAATTAATGTGTACTGTAGTGAACCTGTGCATTAAGACAGCTCTGATACGCAGTGTTTTCATGTATGAGCAGTTGTGAAAGACTCTGGGAAGAGAATGTGGAAAGAGGCCATTTTTTCATGGTTAAATAAATGCAAGTCTACCTCAAACATGCAGTTATGGAAAAGTTCATCGTGATGTTGTGTAAATACAGTTACAAATGCTGAATCTGCAACCAAATACTGTAATGGGGGAAAGGGGAAGTAAATGAGAAGTTTGTTCTCTGTTCTTTTATACCTGTGCTAATCCAAAGAGACCTCTGCTGTTTCAAGGGATCTGTTGTGGATTCGATTGTGTATTTGAGAGCAGAAGTTGCCCTGTTCTTCCAGTGTTGGACGATAACTCTTGAGCTAACTAGCGGGCAATTTGATCACTCCAAAGTGGCTTTTACATTGCAGCTCTACGGCTGACCTCTTCACACCTTGAGAAAGCTGCTTACACGAGCAGCATGCAAGTCTGCAATCTATACTCCAGATTTATTCCATAGATAGTAACTCAGTAAAATCCCCAGTGACAATAGGGAATGCCATAAAACAGGGAAAAAGATTTCTGATGAGAAGTCACATTTTTCTGCAATGACTTGGCAAAGAAAAGAAGCTGGCTTCTTTCACTTAATAGACAGGACGTGTCTGAGCATCACATTCTCATTTAGGTACATGAACTGTGATTTATTTTGAGTAACACTGTGTTGTTTTCTTAACAGATGAACGTGAGGCAGTTCAGAAGAAGACTTTCACCAAGTGGGTTAATTCCCACTTGGCACGTGTGTCATGCAGAATTACAGATTTGTACACTGACCTTCGCGATGGAAGGATGCTCATCAAACTCCTGGAAGTTCTTTCAGGAGAGAGACTTGTAAGTGTTTGCTTATTAATATTCATTATGGTTTTATTGTTCATTTGTTTTGGTGAATGCTTGACCCAACTGAATATTGAACGTTCAACACTGCAAGTGTCTTATGTATTAAATGAGGTAAGAAAGGTTTATTGTTTCAGGAACAGCTGGATCCAGACACCATTAAAATATCTTCCTACTGGTTTAGGTAAAAACCAAAGGAAATCTTATTTGAATGCTTCTTGCAGGTGAGAGACTGAGCACTTGTGCAGCATGCTGCCTGCTCCTGGGTCTGACGTAGGCAGACCAAAAAGCAGTTCTCATGAAATGCCAGCCCTTCTCCTCTCCCTAGAGTGTGCTGCAGGGGATTGAAGGACAGCAGATTGGAGAGGGCCAGCTACACTCTGGGGAGCATTACAGTGCTTTCACTCCACCATCATCCATCACATCCCACTATTCAGTAATGCTCCTGGGTGTACTTGAGTTTATTGCAATAGACAAGGCTTGGAATTTTTTGTTGTTGTTGTTGTTAGAGAAACACCTAAAACATATTTAATGAATAAATTCCTTGGAAAAGAAAGAAAATCCCTTTGATACCAGGTTGTGGTGGTAAGTAAAGCTCTCTAGTGAAAAAAGCTGCTGCATGACAGGAAAACTGGGTGTGAGGAAATGGCTGAAGAGTATCACTTTTTCATTCAGTTCCTTAAAATGATGGCTATGCTCTTAACTATCTAATTTAAAGCAATCTTTTCAAAGAAATACGGGTCTTTAGCTAAGACCTAAGGCTATATGAGGTTGCAGCTGTGTAATCGCTTGTCATGGAGCAGTCCTATTAATGAAAGCTCCATGGGCTAAAACCCTGGGTAATGAATTGAACATATGGCCTACAATGTAGCATCTGTATAGTGAAGCAAGAAAGGGAGATTTCCAAATGCATCTGTGAGGTTAGAAGGAATCTCTGGCATGCAGGACAGTATCCTGTCCCAGCATTGTGTGTGTTGTGGTAAACAATCTCAGTGCTCTCTGTTATATTTTGTTCAAGGTACGTTTCTCTCCGTGTCAAATCATTTACTTCGCTGCGGTGTTAGGTTTGTCCTGCTCACTGCAGGGAGCACCAAGATCAGGTTTTATTTGTACAGCATGCTCCCACTATTTGAGGATTCTGGCAGCATTCTGGCACTTGTGTTTAGATCTCTGTATCTATCTGCCAAGATTTGACTTTCAATGTCAGTTAGCAGCAGCGAAGCTCAGACCAGCCGTGTGACTCGTGCTGCGTGATTCATTTACATTTTTTACTCCAGGTTTCAAAAATGCAAACAGGGCTTACGCAAGCTGTTTGGGTGGGGAGTGTGCAGGAGTCAACTGATGAGGCTGCTGGATCTGAGCTCACATCATTGCCAGTGTATTGCATCGGCAGCTGTCTGCACTACCGCGAATTCCTATTTATTGTAGCTTTGTTATCTCAGGATGGAGGACAGCAGTCTCTGTTTGAACAGTGCATTCCACCACACCTTTCTCTGCAAACAAGAATACAGATAACGCAATGCACTAAACTTTGAGACCATTACACACAGCACAAAAATTCCAGTAGGATTGGCACATAGCATACACTTGCTGATGTTCTTCAGCCTGTTGGAATTTGTTGTGGCTGTCACTGGTTAAGTTCTGACATTGCCGTGCCACCCAAGCAGAAATGTAAAGGCAGTATCTTACGCAGAAAACTTAAAATCAAGACAAAAAGTATCAAATTTTAAGGAAGCAATAAACAAACCCAGTAACTAGTCTAGATCATTATTTTAATATGATGTGTTTACTGATGCACTAGAACAGGAATTTTATGCATATATTTGAATCCAGGATTCTGGGGCTGGAGCCCATGGAGCAGAGCTGCCATGCTCTCTGGGACACAGCCTTTCCCTCACCCCCACCTGCCCTCCCCTGACACATCTCCCTGCCATTCCCTCGGGCCCTGTTGCTGTCACAGAGAGCAGAGCTCAGCACTGCCCTCCGTTCCCTGGGAGAGCTGCAGCCGCTACCAGGCCTCCCCTCAGCTCCTCTGCTCTGTGCTGAGCAAACACAGAGCCCTCAGTGCTCCTCATACGACTTCCCCTGTGAACCTTTTCCCTGCTCTGTAGCCCTCCTCTGGATGCTCTCTGATGGCTTTATGTCTGTTTTGTACTGCAACCCCAGAGCACAGGCAGTGCTGGCAGTGAGGCTGTGCAGCACAGGGCCTGGTGCCCCCAGAGTATGGTTGGCCCTTCTGGCTCCAGGGCACACTGCTGGCTCAGGTTCAACTTGCTGCTAGCCAGAACCCCCACATCCCTTTCCATGGGGCTTCACCCCAACCCCTCGTCCCCCAGTCTGTGTGTATAGCCAGGTTTGCCTTGTCCCAGGTGTACGATCTGGCACTTGCTCCTGTTAAACTTCATATAGCTAGAAGTGAGCATGAGTTACAGTGGCTGATGTGGGGCACTCCAGTGTGGCAGCAAGTACAGTGCGGGCCAAGCTGCTGCTGAGTGCAACCACACTTCCCCATGCCTGGTGCTCCTGCTGTTCCCTCAGCTCCTTCTCTCCAGTGCACCCTGCAAGAGTCAATTAAACCTGATTTGGTGGTACCAGCAGATGGATGGATCCAGCATCATCTCCATTGAGAGCCTTCTCTGAGGGACTGTCGCACCCAAAAGCAGTATTGGGTTCATGGAACTGCTCCCTTCCTTGAGCTGAGATCTGACTTCCTCTACTCTGTTCTCCAGCCTCTGGAAGAGTTCAGTGCCAGCTGAAAGTTGATGGTTGCTCTGGAGTTTACTTGTCCAGAGCAGGGCTTTGCTAGCAAGCATTTCACCCTTGTGATGTGCTGCTACTTAGGCTGCTGTTTCTAGGGGATGTAATTTGGCTCTGGCTGAAACTCTTCCCCTTGAATGCAGTCTGAGAGGAGGATTTTGCCTGAACTGTTTCCACAGCCAGTTAACTACATTCATTGCAGAAAACAAAGAAATTGTGTCGGTTAGTAGTTTGTCTTGTTATCTCTGGTAACTTCTCAGTGAACACGGAACAAACTATTCATCTGTAATCCCTATCTGCAGAACAAAATTGCCTTAATTTTCTTCAGTTTTACAGCTGATTTTTGCACGCTGCTAACACAACTCGTGGCTTTTTTCATTTGCACTGGGCCTTCATAAAATGGTGTTACTTTGGTGTGGCAGTTCCTCCCAAAAGGAGTCATTTGGAATAAACTTTCTGTGTTAGTTTCATAACTGCTTATCTACTTGAGCTGACAAAAAAAAATCATTTTTCTTTCTAAGGCTGTTTTATTGACTAGCAACCATCCAAACTGGAGTTGACTTTTCAGAGATTGTGCATCTGTACTTACAGATCCTCTCTGGAGCATTTGTTACCTGTCAGTTGTCAGTTAGTTGTGTATTTTTGTAGAGCTGTCTTTTTCAGTATGGAAGAGCTTATTCTGGAGAAAAGAGCAACTTAGGAAAATGTAATAAATGTGGTGTGAACTTAAAAAACAAAACAAAAAAAATCTTCCAGGTAGCAAGTGAGTTGCTGAAGTGCCTAGGTGGAAAACATAAAGGAAGTAAGCAAGGAAAACATTTCAGAAAGCAAATGAAATTGGTTGCCCAGCGTACGTGGCAGAGGTCTGGGATGTTAGCAGTCCTGGGTTAGCAGCTTTGACATGTGCTACCATTATCCTTGAGATGTACACAGATGGTTGAATATGCAAGACAAGTGCATGCAGTGTTAGTGGCTGGCAGTGGGCTTCATGGATGACTCAGCTTATTGGACAGAAGAGTTATCATGCTTTTTTTTTTTTTTTTTTTTTTAATTAACAGTAATATATGCTTTTCTTCTTTGTACCTTCTAGCCCAAACCAACTAAGGGAAGGATGCGCATCCATTGCTTGGAGAATGTTGATAAAGCCCTGCAGTTCCTGAAAGAGCAACGAGTACACCTGGAAAACATGGGATCTCATGATATTGTGGACGGGAATCACAGACTGACACTTGGCCTTATTTGGACTATTATCCTGAGATTCCAGGTGAGGATGCATACATTACATGCATACCTACACACGTTTGAATTTTCCATACTTATTTGTAATCGGTTTTATCTTGCTTTTTAAGATTGGAGCATTCCTAAACCCTTCAACATGATAGGAGATAAAGGTGCTTGGCATCTGATGAGGCATGCTCCAGAGCTGAGGGGAGGGAGTGTAACTTCAAGATCTTCTGTGGCAATCAGTGGGAGTTAGAGTGTAGGTTTTCTGTGCAGAGGGTTATACATTTTTATTTTTTAACTACTAACAAATATGAAGCTCCTGTCACAGGTATATAGAATCATAGAATGGTTTGGGTTGGAAGGGACCTTTAAGATCATGTTGTTCCAACCCCCTGCTACAGGCAGGGACACTTCCCTCTAGACCAGGTTGCTCACAGCCCCATCCAGCCTGGCCTTGAATGCTTCCAGAAAGGGGACATTCACAACCTCACGGGACAGCCTGCTCAGCGTCTCACCACCACAGTAAAGAATTTCTTCCTAATATCTAGTCTAAATCTGCCCCATTCCAGTGTAAAACCATTTCCCCTCATCTTGTCATTACTTGCCCTTATAAGAAGTCCCTTCTCAGCTTTCCTGTAGACCCCCTTCAGGTACTGGCAGGCCACTGTAAGGTCTCCTCAGAGCTTTCTCTTCTCCAGGTTGGAGAGCCCCAGAGAGGTGCTCCAGTCCTCTGATCTCTGTGGCCCTCCTCTGGGTCTGCTCCAACATCTCCATGTCCTTCTTGTGTTGGGGCTCCAGAACTGGACTCAGTACTCCAGGTAGGGTCTCAGGAGAGCAGAGTAGAGGAGCAAAATCACCTCCCTCGACCTGCTGGTCACACTTCTCTTGATGCAACCCAGGATATACACACATATATTATTTAGGAGGAAATGCTACTCTCATCTGTTCATCTCTTGTGGTGGTTGTCATTAACTCATCTGACTTTGCGCTGGAGCATATGAAGGGTGCCTGCAGGAATCGTTTAGCCTGTCAGCTGAGGACAGTGATTTCTTGCATTCCTGCAAGTTGCATGTTTCTCTTTGGATTCTGTCAGGAAAGGCTGGAAAATCCTTTTGCAGAAACCTATAATGAACAAATATAAGCTCTTTATTTTAAGGTTTCTCAGTTTTTTTCTAAATATTAAGATGTCTGCCTAGTTTTCAGCAACTGGAATGGGGCTTCACAGAAGCTATGATACATTTTTTTAAAAAACAGTGAATCACATCCATTATATCAGGTATATTTGGCCATATAAATGTTTTTCCCTCTTTTAAAGTAATTGAGACACAGTCTACCATCTGAGATATCTAGTTGCTACACTGCTTAGGATGGACTCTATTCCTGTATTCCTTCCAAGTGTCCAGATTTTTCCACATTGTGTAAACATCCTTGCATTTGAGTTTTTCTGTGATCTCGTTGCTCATCCATGCAGATCTCCTGACACCTTTGCCTGATTTCTTTCTCTTAGGGATGCAGTGATCTTGAGCTTGGAGGAGGTGGTAATTGAATATCAACCAACTCTTTTGGGCCCTCTTACCTTCCAGTACTCTAACCATGGGATACATCCAGACAGGTCCTTCAAGAGACCCAAGTAGACTTCCCCTGAGGTCCAGACTTGCAGTCCTTATTGTCCTGTTTCTTTCACACAAGATCCTGAACTCCACCACCTCATGGTTTCTGCATCCAAGGTTGCCCCAGCTTTTGTATCCCCAACCTGTCAGTCTTTGTTCATAAGAACAAGTGGTGTCTAGAACACCTCTTCTCTACCAGGAATTTATCTTCAGAAGGCTCTAGGAGTCTCCTGGATAGCTTGCAGCTCACGGTGTTGCTTTCCCAGCAGACATCTGGGTGGTTGAAGTCCCTCATCAGGATGACAGCCTGTGAGTGTGATGCTTCTTACAGCTAAAGCAAGAAGCACTTGCCAACAGGCTTCCCTTGGTCAGGTTGCCTGTATTAGACCCCAGCCATAA